GTACATGTGGAAGAATTGACAATAAAGCAGACTTGAACTTGAACACTATACAGTATGCTGCTACATATCTAGAGTTAATAAATAAACAAACAAACAAACAAATGCCTGATAGCATCCTCTTGAATTTAGTCTCATGACAAAAATCAAATGACACACTGGCTGACCTACAACACAGAACAAGTGTCTGAACTTTCACCTGCTTTGTTAACTATTTATAAGGAGTCACAGAGGAATCTATGCTCTGCAGGTCAAGGGTTTCATAAAGAAATCTAAGAAGACTCACCATTTGTCTATGAACGCTAGCAGTTCTTTCTAGATGGTCCGTCTGTCTCCTGGATAACATTTTTCTGAAACAAATTTAGGGAAGTTTAAGTTAAGCAAAAAGGACTGGCTGTGTCTCAAAACATGGTGAGCTCCCTACTAACCAGAAAGCATGTTTTACATGACGAATACAACTAGGTAGCCAGCTCACTGGGTTTTCAAACACAACCACCATGTCCAAAGCCTGTAGAAAGAGCTCCAGAATTCCGGATACTCACCGCGTGACTGTGTCTTTACATGAAGAGCAAACAGCTAGTCTGAACTGTCCGGATCCACCGGCGATACTTCTGGCCGCCGTTCTCACAAAACACGGGACACTCATGATCGGATATGACGGTCTGATCCCTGTCCAACGCCTGATAATATTATCAGACAGAAAGCAAGTTAGTTATTGATGGTTTTTAAATAATAACTAAGAACGCCGAAATCGGAAATGAGAGTTTCTTCATAAGAGCTGATATGAAGTGACATTCACACACGTGAGCAGTAAGTAATTTAACTGTTATTAACTAAATAATCTGTTTCATGTTCAGTAGAACTTTAAAATTAAGTATTAGCAATACTAAAAAGTAAAGCTGACAAAGCGTAAAGAGCCCATAAGCTCACGAGGCAGAACGCTTTCAAATCGTTCACCTCTGTCACTCCGGCAACGTTTCTTCTTCGTCTGTGTTTACGGTTGGTGAACAGAGTCTGTAGCGCCACCCAGCGACCTTGCAAAGTGCAAAACATTTTAATTTCATAGCAATATTAAATAATTAAAATATTAACAACATTGTTTATTTATATCTATTTAAGGTACA